GTCTCAGAGGTGTTTCTGGTCCCAGAGGTGTTTCTGGTCTCAGAGGTGTTTCTGGTCCCAGAGGTGTTTCTGGTCCCAGAGGGGTTTCTGGTCCCAGAGGTGTTTCTGGTCCCAGAGGTGTTTCTGGTCCCAGAGGTGTTTCTGGTCCCAGAGGTGTTCCTGGTACCAAAAGGTGTTTCTGGTACCAAAAGGTGTTTATGGTCCCCACCTGTCGTTTTGCTCCTCAGCATGGCTTCATAAAAACACTGCAGGATTTCTCAAACATGATGAATGAGTCAGAGCAAGGCTTTGGACATGTTTTTATCAGAGTATAACTTTATAACATGATATAAAACTRWAAAMAGTTGATTTTACATGATATTGWCCCTTTAAWAAAACAAAAACATGAAATGACCAACTTCCAGCCCGATCAGGACTAGAAATAAGTTCTCTTCTTCTGGTCCTTTCCTCCTGCGTTGCAGCATGTTCTTGCTGAGAGGAAAAGCTCTGCTAACTGAACCACCATGATGTCCCATGAACTGTCATCTGAAAAACATCTAGACTCACAGTTGGCCACTCCTCTTGTCCATGAAGCTTGATGCTGGTCATTATTTTTATAATGTTTTTTTAGTGGGGGGTCTCGTTGTTGGTCAGGACCCTCTCATGATGAATGTAAAATCTGCTGCTCTTTGAACATTGGTGTTTCAGCAGTGTCCAGTTGGTGGCAGTCTTGAGCCATGATGGTCTTCAAGTTGTTCCTTTCATCTGAGGACACTCTGATGTTGGTCAAATTATTTCTCATGCTTTTTATTTTTTTATTTATTGCAGTCAGTCKTGGTCACAAACAATAAGTTCACCAACAATAAGTGCCTTTTTAAAATGTGTTGTTTAAAAGAACAGTTCTAATAAATGAATAAAAGGACCTGTGGTGAGTAAATGTGAATCTGTGGCTCTGCGTCAGTGCTGCATGTTAAAGAGACAATGAATCATTTTTAAAGCATGTAACATAATGATCAGACTGCTGTGTGTGTGTGGGTAAATGCTGTGTATAAAACTGTCCAATAGTTACTGATGAAAAAGTTTTGACTTCATCRTTTAGGCCTGAGAGAGATGATCCAGAGCAGTGGTGTTCCACCAGGGGCCACCAGGGGGTGCTAGAGCTGGAGGGAAGATGTTTGTTTTTCAATAATTATCGAAAAATATAATTTCTAACAATACATTTAAATATTATCAAGAGAGCTTCAGAGGTTTGATTCTTTTCTTTTTTATTGTAAACACTTTGTTGAGAAAATGTTTTTTCAGTGTTTAAAACATGTTAGTTAGCTAAATTCTTACACTAAGCAAATATAATTATTGATTTATTATTGATTAAAAAGTGAATGAAAGTGAGAACAGACGTTGATGTTACATATTTTGTAGCACTGTTTTGGGTTTGCAGGGGGAGTTCTCAGTAGAGTTGGATATTATCGTATCATGTGCAGTTAATCATCAGAAAAACATTAAGTGATTATTTTTTGACACTTGATTAATATGATTAATGCCACCAGGCAGACTGACTGGATATTTCCCAGTCAGTCCACTTGGTGCTCCTCTGCTTCAAATATGACGAACATTTAAACAAAAGTCCTGTAATTTATTTATCAACACAATTTAAAATTTGAAGTATAGGCTGAAGTCTTGAGGTGTGCAGAGAGTAAAGATGTGACTTCTCTTTATTCTGCACAAACACTTCTTGTATTGAAATCATCAGGAGAATCAAGCTGTAGCTTTGATTGAATGTTTATTGATTTTTTCCTCTCTGTGGTCAGTGTGTTYAAAACGCTCCCATTAGATCTGCAGTCAATGAAYGATCAAAGTAAATGTTTTAGTTAGACTGTGACTGAAAACATGAAGGAGATCTGACAGTTACTCAGTCCAGTGTTGGAACAAACCCAAATGTGTCATCAGTTTTTCAGGTGTGTAGTGGAAGTATTACATTATCTCTGTATGACTGCACATTGCCATGACATGCTTCCAGTCTGTACCTTTTAGATAAACTGCTCTGTGTTTAATCTGTTCTCATCTCACATGACCTGTAACTTGTAATTATTCCACTGGTCTCTGGATATCTCTGACGCTCTTATTTTCTCGGCCTGGATGTATAAATTGTATTTCCTGTGTTTTGGTAGTCACCAGCTCCGGGGAGGTACTGGCTGATTCGGGCCTCTGCGGCGCTGCTCTGCATATGCACCTCTATTAAAATGATCTGAGACCAGACCACGCASTTTCACTTTGTTTATTGTTCACGTGTTCCTGCCTGGTGGGATATTTTCCACGACATTTATTGGCGTCACGAACAAAAAAGTTTTACAGTTGTTTTTTTTTTTGTGTTTTGTTTTATTATGTTTTGTTTTGCACATACAAAGAGTTCAGAAGGTCAGTTTAAGACCGATATTGTTCATTTGTCTCCTGTCCATCCCCCACTGGACAGATCCATCTGTAAAGTTGTTTTCCTCTGTTTGTTTCCCACAGAAGCTGAGTCCAGACAAGGTTTATCACGTGGTGGTGGCGCCCTGCTTCGATAAGAAGCTGGAAGCTGTCAGAGAGGAGTTTTACAACAGTCTAATGGAGACGAGGGACGTTGACTGTGTCCTCACCTCACGTAAGATAAACGCTGAACTTCCACACCGCTGCTGTGGGTTTAATTATGCTCATTGTTGTCCAACACCTGCAGCGTTAGGGAGTAGTTCCACCCTGACATGGAATGAAAATASATGACAGTTTATCCAAACTACTTCCTCTGTAAGCCTCTGTGATCTACTTTCTAGATTTCTCTTTTTCTGTGGGTATAAAGTGGTGAGAAACCCAAACATTATGTTCAGACAGCCAAGATTATGAGATTATCACAACAGGAAGCTCCTCCCACTTTAAGCCACCTGACGTTACAGTGTTTGATTTAGGTGAAACTCACCTGCAGGTATTACCTGTCACACTGAGGGATAGTTGTGTTCCTCACATACAACAAATATAAAACAGTTGAAACAATGTGGGATAAGCTCAGCAGCATTTATTTTGTCTCATTAACCTAATTTTATGTAATATATTTCAAGCTTGCAACACAACCTGAGCCAAAGCTTGGACAAGAAAACATTTATCTCTGTGTGATATATTACTATTATGTCTTCCACGTTAGTATTCACACAAAGTGTCCAGGTTTTAAATGTGCAGCTTTATGAAGGTGTTGCAACCTTACCTGCTGAGGACTGCTCATGTTGCAGGCAGTGCTCTGACCTTCAGCCTCTGCTTCATCAGAGGTGGTTCATCGTGTCTGCTTAAAAATGCATGAATCCCTGGAAACGGTTCAGTTCTAACAGCTTCAATCAGAGAAACTGATGTAACCTCGTACAGTTCTAGAGCCCAGCTTTTACATTTGCTGCTGCCTGGATGTAGGGCTGCAGCAACGAATCGATAAAATCGATAAAAATTCATTATTAAAACCGTTGGCAACTAATTTAATTATCCATTCGTTGTGTCACGGGATTTATGCATCCCTCGCCGTGTCGAGGAGCTGATTACATCACCTGCAGAGCGTTGTCACTGCTTCAGAACCAGTTACTGGGTCAGAACAATGTTTTAG